CCCCCGCCCCTGCGACGCCTGCTGGCTGTAGTGACCACACCAGCTTGTGGCTTTGCTTGTCCTTCACTGCTTGTTTCCTATCTGTGTCACACAATCAGTGCCTTGTTATATATGGCCTCACCCACTAATCATTTCCACATGTATATATCTTTCTAATGAGATGGTGATTTCCCCGAGGCCAGAGGTCGTGTTTTATCTCCTCTTCTGTGGCCGATTACTCCCCAGCAACCGTCCAGTCTCCCCTTCTTCCTTAATAAAGAATCCCCAGCCTCCCCTCCAGCTCAGCATGGCCCTGCAGCCAAGTGAGACGGAAGTGGCAGTGTTGAGTGCTCCTTCTGGGAAGCCTTCCTGAAGGGAGGTGGCCTCATGCGTTTCTTCCCCCCTCCCTCCTCCCCACTGCCCGGAATGCAGCACAGTGCCCCTGTCCCTGACACCCTGGGGTGGGGGGCGATCATGGTCTGCCTGTCTTCTGATACCTTGAATCTTGTGGAAGTCACTATTTTCAGGCCTTTGTTGCTCACAGATTACTGTAATTCTCAGGGATATGTCATGTAACCACCCCCCATCCCCATGGTTCTTAGCAATTCGAGGTGCATAATGATTGCATCATGAGTCCTGTGGATTAAAAGGGGCAGCAGGATTTTAATTTTATTTATTTATTTTTTTCCCCCAAAACCCCCCGTAGATAGTTGTATGTTATAGCTGCACATCCTTCTAGTTGCTGTATGTGGGACGCGGCCTCAGCATGGGTGGAGACGCTGTGCATCGGTGCGCGCCCGGGATCCAAACCCGGGCCGCCAGCAGCGGAGCGCACGCAATTAATCACTAAGCCATGGGGCCGGCCCAGGTCTGTGTTTCTTGATCTGAGTGCTCACGACAAGGATATTTTCACTTTGTGAAAATTCATTGAGCTGTATCCTTATGACTTGTGCACTTTTCTGTATATTTGTTATTTTCAATAAAAAAGTTTTAAAAGACGAAAAGATGTATCCAGAATCTAACCACTTCTCACCTCCTTCCGCTGCTACCACCTGAGTCCCAGCCACCAGCACCTCTCCTTGGACTATCGCAGTAGCCTCCCCTCTGGTCTCTGCTTCCAGCCCTCCCACCCCACACTGGCAACCCCCTAAGTCCAACTAGATCCCTCCTCTGCTCAAACCCTTCCGTGGCTCCCCCCTCACACAGAGTGAAAGCCAAAGTCCTCAGTGTGGCCTGCAAGGCCTGGCCCCTCGGCACTGGCCTCCCTTCTCTTCTGCAGTCTTTCCCCTTTCAGGCCTTTGCCCCTCCTGGGCCCTGCCAGGACCACCCCCCAAGCCCTCCCAAGGCTGCCTCCTCCTTGTTCTTCAGACCTCAACTCAGGTAAGCTGTCCTGACCACAAATCAAAACCCCTCCCCTCCCTGACTTATAGTCTTCAGAGACTTTGGCTATTTGCAGCTACCTTATTTATTTGTCCACTTGCTTGTTGCTGTCTCCCTGACTAGAATGTTGGCTCTGGGAAAGAGGAAACCTCACCTGGCTCGTTCACTGCTAGTTCCCCAGCACCTAGCACAGAGCTGCATAAATATTTGTTGAATGAATGAGTGCTGCCATGAACATCCTTAGCCCAGGATCTTTGGGCACTGCTGAAAGTGGGACTATCTGGATTGGAGGGTATGCTCATTTAAATTTGAGTAAATACTGCCAAATTGTCCTCTCAAAGATTAGGCCCAGCTTATGTTCCACCAACAGTGTGAGGCTCCGAGAGGAGGGGAGTCACCTAAGGTTTGAAAGGCAAACCAGGAAGGCCTCCTTTGTTCCCTTTTCTACATTCCTGAGTTCCCAGAAGTTCAGAACTGAAGGGAAGAGTGAAGGTGAAGGCCCTTTCATTCATTCATTCATTCATTCATTCATTCAACAAACTTGGATCGTTGTACTCATCCTCTAGCACACTGGCATTATAATTTACTTATTTATCACATGTATTGTCTGCAGAATGAAATCTCCATGATGTCATAGATTTTTGTCTGTTTGTTCACTGCTGTGTCCTGAAATGCTTAGAATACTACCAAGTACATAATAGGCATTCAATAAATATTTCTTGACTGAATGAATGAATGAGTGAATGATGAATGAAGCCGTCTGAGTGTAAGAATTTGGAGGTTGCCAGCAGATACAGATAGCCCGGCACATGAGTCAGAGGGGTCAGAGGGTCCTGGCAGCAACCCCCAACTCCTGGTCTCCAGGCCTGGCACCCCGTCCCCCTCACTCACCCAGCAGACAGCTCATGCTCTCTCCTCAGCAACTTCCTCTCTGCAGTCTCTGGGTTGTTGTGGGGCACCTGTCCTCCCGCCCCTCAGGTGGCTTTATACCTGGGGCTGAGCCCTGGGGCCGCCCAGGAGGGAGGGAGGGAGTCCCCCGCCGGGGGGGTGAGGGCAGGTGCAGAAGCCCCCTGAGGCAGGGAACAGGTAGGGAAGGGGACACCGAGGTGACACCCTAGTCTCCTACAGCCCCCAAACTCGACCTTAAACCCTGGTTGCTGGGAGGGAGGGGGCAACGGCAGGGAGGGGATTATCGGGGGACAAAGGGGCCGCCCTGCTCCCTGCAGCTCTGCACGTCCTGGGATCCAGTTTCCCTTGAGGAGGCGGCCCCCTGCCCCGCCCCACGGGGACCTAGGCATTGGGCCCTGGCTCCCGAGGCGTTTGGAAAAGGGACAGGAGGGTGGCATGTGAGCAACATCACTCGCACCCAGGTGCACTCTTAGACACAGGAGCATGATCACGTCTACACACGCTTTGGCACGTGGGCATACACCAGACATATGCACGCACTTTCATATGTTCATTCATTCACATATGTATTGACACCTACTGTGCACTGGTCCCCGTTCCAGGTGCTGGGACAGAGCGGGAACAAGGCAGACAAACAGCCCTGCCCTCGTGGAGCTGAGCTCTAGTGGACATGCCTACACACGTGTTGTATCACCCACACCCTGCCAGGCCTACACACCTTACACAGGGAGAGGCAGACAAAACAGTGCACTTGTGTCCACACAGATGGGTCCACACAGACGCACACGGAGACATGAACAGAAGGCCACACCCAGGGGCCCTGCCAGAAGCGCATGCACAGAACAGACACGTACATCCTGGGGGTGTACCCACACCATCGCCACATGTGTGCACACAGACCCACGTGCAGCTGGGGGTCAGGAGGCCTGAGATCTAGCCACGTCTCAGTCTCTGCTATCC